TAAAGCAAAAATATTCACAAAGAAAGTAAATACGGCAAAAAAAATACTCAGAAATAAATAGAAGAAAAAAATAAAGAAGAAAAGAAATAACTATATAAAAAAATTACTCAAAAATAAATAGAAGAAAATAAATAATGAAGAAAAGAAAAAAATATATAAAGCAAAAATATTCACAAAGAAACTAAATATGGCAAAAAAAACTACTCAGAAATAAATAGAAGAAAAAATAAAGCAGAAAAGAAATAACTATATAAAAAATTACTCAAAAATAAATAGAAGAAAATAAATAATGCAGAAAGAAAAAAAGTTATATAAAGCAAAAATATTCACAAAGAAACTAAATACGGCAAAAAACTACTAAGAAATAAATAGAAGAAAAAAAAGAAGAAAATAAATAACTATATAAAAAAATTACTCAAAAATAAATAGAAGAAAATAAATAATGCAGAAAAGAAAAAAATTATGAAAAAATGTTGGGGCGCTGCCCTGTAGGCCTGCCAGACCTTGGTTGTGCAAATACATGCCCGGTCGGGCCAGCAGACTCATAAGGCAGCGCGCCCTAGTTAGGCCCAGAAGCTTGCTAAATAGAGGAGTTCGAAAGGGCAGCCGCGGCTGGATTTATAAACCAGTGCGGCTGCCCTTCGCTCGGCGAGGTGGAACTAAACATAGCGCACTGCGGTGGTAGCGTACGGCCTTTAGTACCGGTTGGTGGCTCCAACCGGTACTAATGTGTTGCCCTTTAGTACCGGTTGGAGCCACCAACCGGTACTAAAGGCCCTCGTTTCCCGCCGCTTGGGCTGGCCAAAATTGGCCTTTAGTACCGGTTGGTGGCTCCAACCGGTACTAAAGGCTCCCCATATATATGTGACACTTACAAAAAATCAGTTATTGTCGCCACTTCCTTCCACTTTTCTCGCGCGAGAGAGTCTCGCTCGATCTCGACGACACGCCGACGCCGCCGCGCCGCCGTGCCGTCGCCCTCGCCGCCCCTGCCGCCCGTCGTCGTCGTCGCCGCGCGCCCCCGCCGCCCGTTGTCGTCGCCGCCCCCGCCGCGCGCGTCTCGTCGCCTTCGATCCCGGCCGCCGCCGGCCCGTCTCGTCGCCGTCCCCGGCCGCCGCCGCCCGTCTCGTCGCC